AAGTTTCATGTAACAAAGGAGCTCCTGAGACGAGCAAATTGCATACGATCAGCATAGATCAGCTGACAGACAATGGACTCCGGACTAGGTGCGTTCCAATAAGTCTTCCTACCAATATGACCATGTCGCGAAAACAAGGTCAAACAACCTCTTTACCTCTTTATTCTGCTCATCTGCCTATCCGCAAATGCACCAATCGGCCATTCCTTTGCTCCGTGGGTTTGTTGTGCAGCCCAGCCTTCTTCGATGCCTGGCTAAGGGAAACTCCGCTTTTGGAACTACCCTAAGCCATTTTTTTGGGCTTTCAAGGGAAATCCACGAAAAAGTCGTTCTGGCGAAGTGGTTCATCTTTGTTGTCGACTCCTTCTGGCCGGCCGAAAAAGAGAGAGTAATCGGGGTCCCTCGTCGCCTCGTCTCTGCTGTTCGTCCTATCGGACGTGCGGTACGTCGTTTGGCGTTCCGGAGTGGAGATGTGATTCTTTCCGGCCAGACGATTCGGCGTTACGTTTGCGAAACGAGTTTGCCGGTAGAAGGGACAAATGCGGTGTCGGAAGCGTGGAGTAGCCTTGCTAGTGGCGGTTCATCAAAACGGCTCAATGGCAAGCGGTTGCGAATGTCCCAGGCCACAAGCCGACATTGGCTTGTGTCTGCTATCATCTGCCCAACTCGCCCGATCCTCATTATGAGTTCCTTATTTGCCTGTGCATCTTTCAAAGGTTATACGTATGGGTGGATACCGCAAAAAATTATTGTGTGTGTGTGTGTGTGCTATATGGTTGGGCTTCAAATAGGTAGGTTTTGAGACTACCAGCATACCCTACATATGGTATGTATTCATCCTATTTCGGTTGTGGTGACGAAATAGGGGAAATAGACATCATCAATTATCAAGCTTCACTTGGATTGAATAGATTTTCTAACAATCAGTAAAACTTTGACTCATTCGAGGTAGATAGAAATGAGACATACACGAAGGATAACTCGGCTCCGATGGGAGAGCATTAATGTGAAGACTTTCTCTTGGTAGGAAGGTGACTGATGAAGGGGTTGTTGGCCAGAATAGGACGGTCTGAACGTCTAAGTAACAGCAAACGACTGGTGTCGTCTTCGCATGAAATCGACTTACGCGAATCTCTTCATCAGGCATCTTCACACCAAATGAAAGTCTCCACAATCAGATGATGCATTGTGGACAATTGAATTTCTCCAAAAGAGATGTAGCGAAGACCTTGCGACGCCATAGAATTTCAATCAGTCGCCCAGACGTCGTTCTCTTCCCGAATGGAATGCAGTTTCGACCTCGCCTGCGTCTCATCTGCACTCCCGACGGGACTCAAAGCCGGGTCGTTCGAGGCACCTGGTAGCAGGATGCCACTCAGCCACACACTGCCACACAGCCACAGCTGCCACTGGCTTATAGGGAAGATGTGATTTTCACGTCAAGCCGTGATAAGTCGAACTTGTGCTTCCTATTGCAAGGGATGATATTACTTTTTGCCGAATGAGTAGCTTCCGAATTGACCATAGGAGATTTAAAACGAAACCAAATAATACTGGGTAGGTTAATGTGAATCGAGAATGCAAAGTGAAATTGATTGGCATCGCAAGGCCTTCTGGTCACTTCATTGTGGGAAATTCAATTGTCCCTCCAACATCGTATTAAGCCGCCTAAATTTGCCAAAATTCTTATATTTGTTTAGGTCTTTGTTTTGTAATTCTTACGCGACTTTCTGGTGAGTAGTGGTTGATACAATTCCAATTTGGTCGGTCTTTTTGAGGGGCCTCTTACTTGGCGGCTACAGCACAGGTGGAACCTCTGATGCCGGGGGTGTTGGGATTGACGACAAGTTGAACATCCTCGTTGAGATCACTTTAGACCGTCCTCATGTGTTTCCCATAC